CGCCCTCCTCCCCCGGCGACCGGAGGCCGGGACTTCCCGCTGCGGGGCGGCCCTGCCCCTCGGGACGCGGCTGGACCCACCCAGGCTCCAGGAAAGCCCCGCCCGGGTGGTGATCGTGCGGGGCGCACGCCTACGTTACATAACGCACCGGGGCCGCTGTGTTTGGTTCGAGCAGAAACCCAAGGCCCCGAAAGCAGTGGGCAGGCGGAGTGCGCGAAAGTAAAGGAGGCGCTGACGTGCGGCGGGAGGGGGCTGGAGGTGACATTTGGGGCGACCTTGTGATGGAGAGGCGCGCCGGGCCCGGCCGGGCGGGGCGGGGGGCGCGGTGACCTTGGTCTACACGGCCCCCCCTGCTGGGCGCGGGGGAACTCCAGCTAGAGCGAGCCGTTGTGTGTTTAAAAGGGAAATGCAGAGGCGCGGGTTTGAAGTCCGGCCTTTGGAGTTATTTTTCCCCGGCTGGGCACGCAGGCTCGTCTCATGACGCTTCTTGCGCAACCCGCCCGCCTTCCGCTCCGCCCGGACTGGCTGCGCGCGGGAGGTGGGTTGCCACCTCGGGGTCTGCACAGCTCCGGCCCTGACCTACGGACACCAGCCTTAGGGCTAACCGGGTAAAATTCGTCATCAGGTCAGAGCTACATAATGTTCTTGTGACTCCGGCGGCTTCCAAATCATCCTCGGGACTGAGAAGTCAGCACATAGGAGGGCGTCGTGGTAGGAGAGGGGGTCAAGGTCTCTGAAAGTGGTGGAGATAAGACCCGCTGGATAAAGAGGCACTTGGAGTACTCTCAAGGCAAGGAGGACAGACCTCCCAGGCCCCGGAGGACGCCCCGCTCTGCCGGAGGCCGTGTCCCCTGACTACCCATTTTCGCTCCTGGAGCAGAGGCCCAGTCCTGACCCCGGTTCCCTCCTCTGCAGGCCGCCCTTCTGACAGAGGCTCCCGCTAGGAGTGTCCTCTCCTAGAAGGCGTTGCCTAAGTTACAGGAAAAGTGCCAAGGAAGCTGACGCTGAGAAACTCCCTGGATCCCTACTTGGTTCAATTAGATTTGTTTTCTCCGCAGCTCTTATACAGGTTGCAGGGCCTCTTGGCTGCTGAGAAAAACATGCTTCAGGCTTTTCTCTGACTTTTTAAAAAGTTATCTATATGCACTGACATGCAAAGAGGTTCAGGAAATAGTAAGTGAAAGAAAAAAAAAAANCGTTGTGTGTTTAAAAGGGAAATGCAGAGGCGCGGGTTTGAAGTCCGGCCTTTGGAGTTATTTTTCCCCGGCTGGGCACGCAGGCTCGTCTCATGACGCTTCTTGCGCAACCCGCCCGCCTTCCGCTCCGCCCGGACTGGCTGCGCGCGGGAGGTGGGTTGCCACCTCGGGGTCTGCACAGCTCCGGCCCTGACCTACGGACACCAGCCTTAGGGCTAACCGGGTAAAATTCGTCATCAGGTCAGAGCTACATAATGTTCTTGTGACTCCGGCGGCTTCCAAATCATCCTCGGGACTGAGAAGTCAGCACATAGGAGGGCGTCGTGGTAGGAGAGGGGGTCAAGGTCTCTGAAAGTGGTGGAGATAAGACCCGCTGGATAAAGAGGCACTTGGAGTACTCTCAAGGCAAGGAGGACAGACCTCCCAGGCCCCGGAGGACGCCCCGCTCTGCCGGAGGCCGTGTCCCCTGACTACCCATTTTCGCTCCTGGAGCAGAGGCCCAGTCCTGACCCCGGTTCCCTCCTCTGCAGGCCGCCCTTCTGACAGAGGCTCCCGCTAGGAGTGTCCTCTCCTAGAAGGCGTTGCCTAAGTTACAGGAAAAGTGCCAAGGAAGCTGACGCTGAGAAACTCCCTGGATCCCTACTTGGTTCAATTAGATTTGTTTTCTCCGCAGCTCTTATACAGGTTGCAGGGCCTCTTGGCTGCTGAGAAAAACATGCTTCAGGCTTTTCTCTGACTTTTTAAAAAGTTATCTATATGCACTGACATGCAAAGAGGTTCAGGAAATAGTAAGTGAAAGAAAAAAAAAAATTTTTTAAATATATCTTTATTGATTCAGAGAGAGGAAGGGAGAGGGAGAGAGTTGAAACAACAATGAGTCATTGATCACCTGCCTCCTGCACGCCCGCAACTGGGAATGGATTTTAATGATAGTTTTAAGTCTAAAATAGAGATCAACCTTTCCAGGTTTTCTATTTCTTCTTTGTCTGGTGTGAGTAATACTTCTCATCTAAGAAGTTTAAACATCTCATCTAAATTATCAAACAGAATTCATCATAGTAAACTGGTTTAATTTTAGCATCTGTTAAGATCAGCAGTGATATGCCCAGTTTTATCCCTTGAAAAACTTTCCCATTTGACTCCAAGGATTCCACATGCTCTTGATTTTTAGCACGCCTCACCAGTCATCTTTTCTGTCTGCTTTGCTGCTCTCATTTCTCATCCCACACCTCTGACGCTAAAAGGCTCAGGCTCAGAGCTCTTCTTTCCGTTGCTTTATACTCACTCTCTCGGTTATCTCCTCCATTTCAGTGCTTAGATACCATCTATATGTTGAAAAATGTATACTTCTAGTCTGTACCTTGTCTCTAAACCCCAGGTGCAGATACCCAAGTCCCTCAGCATCTCCACGTAGGCATCCAGTAGGCATCTCAAGCATTACATGTCCCAGCTTCTAATGTGCTCCTCTGGAATTCCTTTTCAGCTCAGTATGTGACCACACCGTCTACCCAAAGATTCTTTCTTTAGTTACACTTCACATCTAATCCCATAGCAAATCCCACTGACTTGACTTTCGAAACACATCCGAAGTCCCATCACGTTTCAGCAGCCACATCACTGTCATATGACTGAAAAGGAACATCTTCTCGTGACAGGTTGCATCAGTGTCCTGAAAACTCTCCAACTGCTTCCTATTTCAGATAACTTTCCCTTTCCAAGGCCAAAAAGGACCTTAATCAGCAATCACTCACTCCCGTTATGTCACTGATTACCTGCTGTTGTTCAGTCCCTTTCAATTCCATTCTATCTCCCAATGGCCTATTTGCTGTCCTTTAAATCTCCAGGTATGCTCCTGTTTTCAGCCTGTGTGTTTTCTCCTTTGTCTAGAATTCTCTTTTTCATATCTACATGGCTTCTTACCTCATTTTCTTTGCACCTTTGCTCAAATATTATCTCTACAGTAAAGCCTTCCCTATTTAAAGTTGTAGCCCTGTTTTAAGTTTCTTCATAGCATTTACTGCGATTTGATCTTATATTATTTTTTATTGATTTGTTTCTTGAAAACAATTACAGTAAAAATATAGTACCAAATGATTTATGATATTACAAAATTAATTGCCTCCTCCACTAAACTCTAAGTTCTGTTAGGGCAAAGGCTTTATCTTGTTCAGTCCAATGCTTAGAACAGAATCTTAACACAAAGAACATGCTTGATAAATAATTGATGAAATAATAAATCCATGATGATCACTACCCAGGAATGTAATCTTCTGAAAAAGAATAAATTGGAGTTTTCATAAAAGAGGTAAAACCCTCACAAACACAAATGAATTGAGTGAGTAAGCTGTGTATTAAAAACTGCAGAGTAGAGAGATATTTACACAAGTTATATGAAAATTGGAAACCTAAACAAGCTTGTATGAATGTAATAAATTTTTGAAAACTCTTTCAACACTTTGTATTTTATTAAAAATTAAAGAATTAAAAATCCTGAACAATGATCTGTAGTCATAACAAAACAATGACAATAAAAATATAATACCCGAATGATTTATGATATTATGAAAACGAACCTCTTAATTGGTATAGTAATTACATTCTAGTTCAGAATAACATCAATATGGACACTTCCTCTTTTGTTAATTTTTTTAAATCTAGCAGTTTTTTATAGTATTTTACATGCTTTTATATTATTTTTCAATTCCTTCATGTCTTCTTTGGTTTTGGATAAATTAACAGACATTTGATTAGTCACTAATCTTAATTTAAAAATTGATCTCAGGAGTAATTTAGCTTGCCTTTGGCAATTTGTAACAGAGAAATTTTAAGATGACTCATCTATCAACAGTTGTTTTGAAAACGCTGCACTAATTCTTACCTAACCAGTTCAAAAAGCACCACTCCTGATATAAGGATTATTTACTGACCTCTGAATCTCAGCCTATAAATAAAACACTATCTTTAATACAGGTGTAAAAACATGTGCTACAAGCATGTTTTTAAAGTCAGGGCAAAGCCAAGTCTTTTTGTTATGCCTAAAGTGGTGCTTTATCTTCCAATTGAAAATATTTAGAGAATGTGAGTCAAGATCACTGTACTTGGTTCAATTTTTTTAAATTATGTTTATCAATATGTGTAAATAATAGGGTTTTTGTTGTTGTTGTTGCAAAACTCCAAAGCCAAATAAAATAAAGCCACCATTCAGTGGTTCTCTATGAAACAATAATTCATTTTGGATACTCTTAATGTTAGTGTAGGATGCGTATCAATTCTTTCCTCTTCTAAGAAGTCTGGGCTGATTAGGGAAGGGCTTTGATGGTTCTTGAAAACTGATATAAAATAGCCTGAACGCTTTTAACAGAGCTGGGGGGAGGGGGGGGAGGTGTAGAAATGGCACATTTAGCAGTAATTATGGACCAGAGAGCACCTAACTTGAGACCCTTAGAAACAGGGTCTCCCGACTGCTTACATGTCTAGAGATTCCTCATGTTTGACGACTGTAAAATTAAAACTGATATTTTCTCTTGAAAGTTTCTATAGCTAATATTTAGGGTTAGAAAATTCTTTGTGTAGCTTACTAAGCATTGGGAATATTACCTAGAGTTACGGAGGTGTGGCCATCCAAAAGAGCCCTAGGTACAGTGACCATTCTCATGTCTGCTCCCTGACACATTCCATTATTATAGAGACTGGAGTCGAGAGTCGAGAATGTAAAGGAGAAGGCATCAATCGGAGGCAAGGCTCTGAAATCAGGTTTTGTCACTCTGTGATAAAGGACGACACTAATTCCAGTCCCAATGCACTCTGTAATTTCCAGACATCTGTAAGCGGGCAACCATCCTCCCTTCTTACAACCAGAAATATGTCTGAAAAGAATTTACTCTACATATATATATATATTTCATTTGGGATTAATAAAAATTTAAATTGATAAAATATAATTCTCTGATAGAAAAGAAGAAATTATATAACTTGAGAACTGAGAAGATCAAAGTGAGTCCAAGGATTTAAATCACGATAAAGAAAAACAACTGGGGAGGGGAGGAAAAGAGAAATGACCCCAACTGATCATGTCTCCTCTGCACTCTCTACATCACTGTCAGGTAGGGACACATGCTCTGGAGAAAAATAAAGCAGGGCCAGAGGAGAGCACAGCAGGAGCTGCTTAGACAGGAGGATGGGGCGGGGCGGGGGGGGGCCCAGAGGTGACATCATGGGAAAGCTCAGGCTGCGATGAAATGAGGAACCTGCTGCTGCAAAGCCTTCTGTCCACCTCAGCTGTGAACAGTAACGATGAAACCACAGGCAATATATTTTAATTACGTTTATATGCATAATTAAAATCAGTCACTTGATTTGAAAAATCAGTAAGTTGGGGATATTTCTCAGTAGGCCACCTGAATTGGAACATGAAAACTAGTAAAAGAAAGTCGGCTCGGGAGACAGCCACGGCCATTCCTCAAAGCAGTTCATGACTAACCTCCTTTTTGAAAGGGTATGAGAAAGTCAGCACAGTGGCCAGAACAATCCGAATCTTAGACGGGCACCTTGTCCCAAAGGTGGCTCTGCTGTTTTCTAAAGAAGAAAATAATATCTATCAGTAACGAGGGTTTTGATGGAATTAATAATGGAATGAGACACAAAAAATATGGTAAGACACCAAGTTACAAAATGGCATTGACTATATATATGGAGTAGTGTGTGAGTATGTACAGTAATTATGTGTGTGTATAATTGATAAAAGGATGGATTATAAACACATATTCGATTCTTCTGAGCAAAGCTAAAGAATCCATATTGGAATGTTTCCGATAAAGAAGATTGGTGAGCTTGACTGGTATTCTGTTTACAATGCAAAGTGCTCAAAATTAAGTTATTTGCCTGCCTTTCTCTCAGACAGTCTAGTATCTCAGGCTGTCAGACCAACAGATCCATAGCATAATACTTGTTCTTCCAGTTTCAAGTGATAGGTGGTGCGCTGGGGCTCTGAATGGTCCCGCAAAGGCTGTGCTTCTGGGGAGGTAACATCAAGACGCCACTTGGAATCTCTTCCTTAAAGTCAAAGTTGTTCTCTGAAAAGACTTAGGTGGATACTGTGAACCTGAAACGCCAATCACAAAGCCATTCTCATTGAAATGTTTAAAACTCCAGCTCTCAAAAGGATTGTTTTATATAGTCTGTGCAGATGATATTTTTAAAAGAGAAAAAACAATATTTTAATGTCACTTTTATTCACACCAGAACACAGTCATATGTAAAAACTGCCATTTGGGGTCCTGAGAAGAAGGAAAGGGGCTCCTCCACCGAGCCTACGTGCTGGCGAGGTATCCCCCCAGAGCAGGTGGGTCTGCGGGAACCTTCTCCCCGGAGGTGGATCCCTAGGGCCCAGCAAGTTGAGTAGGGCACTCTGGCAGCCCTACGGCTTCATGGAGTAGAAGCAAAGTCAGCTGCCTTCCTGCTGTTGGGGACACCCCATCAGCTTTCCCGCTGTTGGGGACACCCCATCACTGTTGGGGACACCCCATCAGCTTTCCCGCTGTTGGGGATACCCCATCAGCTTTCCAGATGTTGGGGATACCCCATCAGTTTTCCCACTGTTGGGGATACTCCATCAGCTCCTCTTCTCTTTTTTGGGACACAAAAACAATATCTTGATAAGTTAATAGCTCCAGATGCTTTTTGACTTGGAAGCAAAGGTAAGAAACAGACCACATGCTTGCTTATCAGAGAAGAAAGAAAATAAGTCCTTAGAAATAGAGAAACATCTCTCTTAATGTACCTTCAGTCACTTCTATAGAAATGAACAAAGGCCTCCAACCATCAGCAGTTGCTGTCACAAGTTTCTGAGAAGAGACTACACTGACTTAGTATTTGGTGAAAAATTAAGAGTACAGACTTAAAGCAAATTCAGAGCCCAGTTCCATCCCCTAACTTCCACTCGGTGTACCCAACAGACTAGCTGGCATCTCCACTTGCCGCAGCCCGCATCTCCAAAACAGAGCTCATCAAAATTCCTCGAGTTCCCTCTTTCAGCACCATGCACAGAATCATACTTACAAGCCTTCACGCCTTTCTCTCTCACACACCACAGGCTGTTCCTCCTGATCCGGTGGCTCACGCCCCCTCCAGGAAGGCCCTCTGCCCACCTGCATATCCAGCTAGTGGCCCTGCTCGCCACTCCCACAGCCCTTTCCACCTTCCCCACTAGACTGTGTGTTCCTTCCAGCACAGGCCAAAATGTCCTTGGTGTTTGAATATCTGCCTTTAGCACAGAACTTGGCACAGAGTGAGCAGTCAGCATGATGTAATTTATTAGTAAACAACCTTGGATGTCTACTCTCCCCTTGACCATCCACGATTATGTTAAGAGCAATACCTGATAACGCAGTATGGCTGCTGTCACTGAGCGTGACAGCTAACACTTCCAGGGCATGTATAAGAGGGGAAAAAGCAACGAAAATGTACAGCAGCCTAGAGTTATCAAGCAACGGAGAAAAATCTCAAAGGGCTAAAGAACCTTTGACATCATCTGCTACAGAGCTATGAAAGAGCTGATGCAAGCAGTGACAAACCTGTGTTGTTCCACTGCTTCAATGTTGCTAAATTTATTTAAAAATTATAATATAGGCAGTATTTCCCTTAAAACATTTCAGATTACATTTACATTCCCTTTACATTTCAGATTATCTGTATTGCAAATGTCCATAATTTTTGAGCAAACAATGTCTGTCTGGCATCTAGTTAGGTCCTATCCATAAATTTTTCCAATAATTATTTAATCCACCCAGCCTGTTATAAAAGAAGAAACTGAGGCCCAGAGAGGTTGAGGCACCCCAAAGATTGCTCAGCTAGTAGGTGGTAGAGTCAGGCTGAAACCGAGCATTTGATTCCACGGGGGCAACCTCACAACAATGCCATGTGGTCTCCCTGAACAAAAATGTTGGTCATAATTGGAAAATTAAAACGTCATTGGCTTGAATTCAGATGAGAAACTTTATTCTTCCAAGGGTGCACTTATCTGTAAAACTCTACATTTAAAATAATTAGAATACACGTATTAACTTTATTAAGCATTTTTATAATTAGATCTTCAAAGAAAATCTAAGACTAGGGTTTCATTTAGGAGAAAAGCATGAACCTCTACAGCTGAGACACTCATTTCTCAGAAGACTCATAAGACAGCCTTTTCCTTTTTATGAAGGTAAGGCCCTAAGTGAATTAAGGGAATTAGGGCATTTTCCTCTTTACAACCACCAACAGCCTGTCTTTGCAGTTTTGCTCTTTATAGAGATTTACGAGGTCTGGATATATAGACCCTAACCCCTTGGTATTTCCTCTAACCTGGTCAAAAACAGTCCAATCAAGGCAGGCAATCTTCAATGTCTCTTTCAAGACCTGAAACTTCACAAATTACGTCATTTTATTTATACATGGAGAACACTGACCTGTCAGCAAACCTTGACCTGTCCAGGTGTGACCAGCAAACTCCAACAGTGTCAGTGAACCTTTGCGAGGCGTGTCTGACTGGCAGAAGAAAAATAAAATGAGGGAGGAGTTTTATTGTTTCAGATAGTTTTCTCCTCGTTTGACACTTAATCAAAAGTATATTTTTTTTACATTCAATCTTGTTGTGTATTGGTTTCAGGTATACGGCATAGTGGTTAGACAATCACATGCTTTACAAAGTATTCCCCCCCAATGTTTCCAGTACCCACCTGGCACCATACTTAGTTATTACAATATTATTGACTAGGTTCCCAAGCTGCACCTCCCATTCCCACGACTATTCTGTAGCCACCAATCTGTACTTCCCAGTCCCTTCACCTCTTTCACCCAGTCCCGCAACCCACCTCCCACTTGGTGACCATCAGTCTATTCTCTGTATCTATGGGTCTGTTTCTGTTTTGTTTAGTTTTAGATTCCACATATAAGAGAAATTATATAGTATTTGTCTTCTCTGACTGACTGATTTCACTTAGCATCATACCCTCTTGGTCCATCCATGGTGTCACAAATGGTAAGATTTCATTGTTTTTTTATGACTGAGTAATATTTCATTGTATATATGTACCACAAATTCTTTATCCACTTATCTATCGATGGCACTTGGGTCGGATATTTGTTTTTAAATATGTTTTTACTGATTTTACAGAGAGAGGAAAGGAGAGGGAGAGAGAAAGACAGAGAAACATCTATCGGCTGCCTCCTGCACATCCCCTACTGGAGATCAAGCCCATAACCAGGCCATGTGCCCTGACCAGGAACCCAACTGGTGACCTATCAGTGCATGGGATGACACCCACCCAGCTGAGCCACATCCGCCAGGGCATGGGTTGGATAATTTTAAAAGCCAAAGTATGGTTAACACAAGGCAGTGTACAGATCATGTATCACGGAGATGCACACTTGGAACCTGTATGATCTTATTAGCCAATGTCACCAAAAAATTTTAATTAAAAAAAAAAAGAATAAAAACACAGCATGGTTAACAGAGAACCTACCCGGAACGTATGGGTTGTGCTGGGCCTGGAAAGCTGTGCCACAGTCAGAGATCTTTCTCGAAGAGGTGATCGCTCTACACTATCAGGTATTGCACTTAACACACGGTTTTGTGCATGCCTTCCTCTGTACTAAATGAAAGATAATGTTCTTGTTGAAATGAAATTCAATTCTTAAAAAACAAAAAAGATCTATATATGCTTCACTTACTCATTTAGTCCTTCATTCACTCACTTATTTGAAAACTTATTTTGTATAAGGTCTACTAAGCATAAACATCAAAATATATTTTAATTATGTAATTGTATTATTTAGCCTGATAAAATGGTAGTGTCTTAATAGGTAAATCTGTAATAAAAACCTTAACCACATCACATTCCTAATATTAAATTATAATAAAAATATAATTCTGCACTTGTGAAGCATCAGACTTTTTCTAAGGTGATATTTGCCTTCTTTTCTGATTTCACTCTAGGCCTCAATATTCTACAATTAAACATTAAAGCCTCGCCACTCTGGCCTCCCAGGGGTGGGTTCCACAGCTGTGCTCAAGGAGGCACAGGGAATACAAGAGAAAACATTGCCTTAGTCATTTGTTTTCTCTCTAAGTCTTTATGTTCCTACAACTGGGTCCTTTTGTGTTTTATAAAATAGGCACTGCTACTTGTATCGGAGCAAAGTGCATGGTCATTATGGAATCCGGTGATGCGTATTATAGGCTACCCCAGAGCTCTTCCAATTGTATGGCTGAGTAAAGCTTGGGTGAAGAAGCTATTCCGCTACATTGCAGTGAACATGGTAAAATTAGCTGTAAAATGGCAGGGGATTTGACCGAGCTCTTAATTTATGCCAGTCATTATTTAACATCTACACATTCATTTAATCCTAATAACAAGTCTTTGAGGTAGGAATCATTATTGCCCTTTTATAGATGACAAAATTGAGGCTCAGCGAGGTTCATTTGTACCAAATCATACAGAGTGTGTGTGGCAGGATTCAAACACAGATCTGCCTGTCTCCTGACCTCACCTTCATGCTATTTTCTTCACCACACTATCCTGACCATCAGATAGTTCCTGGACCCCTACACTTTCCGATTTAGTTCAAGCCATGTTTTTATTTCACAAAATATTAAATGAACCCTCCCACCCCCTGTAAATTCTCACAAACCATTTACTTTCAGGAAACAGATTATGGAGACATTTTGTTAATGATTTCACTTCAAAGTGCCAAGATTATATTTTGTTTGTTTGTTTTCCAATAGACTATCCAAATGGTGCACTTAAATATAATGAAATTCGTCTTACAGAAATAGGGCGAGACCCAGGAACTGCCAGGTTCTGCTCAGCAGGCTCGGAGCCGATGGGGGGCAACCTGCTCCGTGAGGTGTGGACTGGGGGGGAGGACACGTGGTCTATGCCAGTTGGCCTGTAAACACAACAACATGTAAGTGAGCACCAGGTGCCAAGACAGAGGACAGACCTTACCGCAAGCTCCTGATCGGAGCTCCTCATCACAACCTGCCTTCCAAAAGAAGTGAGCTGAGTTTCAGGAAAACAGATGTGGGGAGGGGCCTGACAGCCAGCCAGTTCCAGTCACCTTCTCCTTGCTCAGCAGTGACCGTCAACCTGTATTGACTGAGTTTCCAGTTACGCTATGCAGAAGAGACAGGTAATAGAACATCTAGTGCTGAGACTTAAGGACATTACAAGTTATTGAAAGCACATAAAGTGCCAATAACAAGGAAATAATAAATGATCACATACCCACATGATTATATTTAGGTCATTAAAAGCATGCTTTCAAAAATATCTAATACTATGGAAAATATGAATAATGTTAAGTAAAAAAGTATATAAAAAAGTTCTACATTCTGCAGTAATAAGGTAATGTTAGGCCCTAGCCGGTCTGGCTCAGTGGTTAGAGTGTCGGCCTATGGGCTGAAGGGCCCCTGGTTTGATTCCGGCCAAGGGCAGGTACCTCGGTTGCAGGCTCCATCCCTGGTCCCAGTTAGGGCATGTGTGGGAGGCAACCATTTGATGTGTCTCTCTCACATAAATGTTTCTCTCTTTCTCTCTCTCTCTCTCCCTCTCCCTCCCTCCCTTCCACTCTCTCTGAAAAGCAATGGAAAATATATCCTCAGGTGAGGATTGGCAAAAAAAAAAAAATTGGAGATTAGTATTAGAAAAAAGGCTAACATTGGTTCTCGGCAGGACAAAAAAAAGATATTACTCTTTTAATGTGCAAATCACAGATATAAAAAAGCACATAAACCATACAGGATATTTTTGGAATATTAAAATTCCACAGGTTGGAAAATAGTTAGGAAAGAGAGTGTAAAAGGGCTCCTGAGCGTGACAATATTGGAAAACACGTGTCTGCAGAAAGCAGAGGCCAGAGGAAAAAGGGAGCGTACAGCTGGAGGTGTCCCGATTCTTTTCCATAGGGAACAGAAAAGGCCCTGACAGTGGAGCCCAGGCGGGCTGGGAGGAAGAAAGGACCAGCCGCGCTCCTGACGCGGCCGAGGCTGCAGAGCGGGGCCCGAGCAGCCACGGTGGGGACGCGGGAGGAAGAAGGGTCTGGAAAGAATTAACACGGCAGGGCCAGAGAGCTGGGAATTCAGTTCCAAACTGTGAAAGAAACAATGACCTACGGGAAAGCTGAAAGTGGTGCTAAGTAACGACTGCATCGCGGAAAAGTCCAGTCACTGGGGAAGCGCTGGCAGGTGCTTCCACCTCCCGGCCCTGCTGGCGGGCCTTCCGTGCCTCCCTCCCCTGCCGCAGAGCCTGTGGGACGATGGTCCAGGCGGTGTCCCCAAAACGAGACAGCAGCGAGGGTGCCAGTAAGCTACATACACAGCGAAGTGTACCGCTGAGACAAAATTCGTGTCAAAGAGCCAAAGTTCACTATTCGATTCATGTTAATATTCAAATGCGTGAACTACCTAAAAAAGTGTCCACATAAATTCGGTAGACGATGCTCTGCCCGAAATCATCCCTGAGCCCTAAATGACAAAGGTCTCTGTTCTCTGTGACCTCTGGTTGACCGGGAGAGAAACAGGACTTACAGTTTTGTTCCCCTAAGCACCTCATCACTGTCCACACTGGGGGCTCTCATTCTCTGCGAGTCGGAGGGAAGGGAAGGCAGCCTCCTGTGCGCCGTTTTCTTTGCAGGAGTCTGGAGCCTGGGGGCGTCTGAGATGCGCCCCAGCCGGTGGCGTGCGGCGGAAAGGGCACCGGCCCCCACACTCAGGGATCTGTCCTGCTGTTCGCTCCTGGGGGAGGGAAACCGAGTGAATCACTCAGATGTAAGCTCTGCGAGCACTTGTAAGCACTTGCCCACGACCAGACACTGTCTAGAACAGCGCCCGGCCCGTAGGAAGATACTCCTAACCACCTGTTGAAAGAATAGATTATCACTTCCAGTTCGGTTTCAATTTCAATGAATAATCCTTGAAAAGCATCCAAGTTTCTTACCGTTTCTGATCAAACAGTATCGCCCATTAGATTAAGAATTCACAGCTGCATTCCCTCTTTCTTACCTGCCCCAACCTGCCTTTTGGGGTGGATGTTTGAATAGTGTGGTTTTGTTCTGACACACCGGCTGTCCTGCCCCGAGTGGGGTTGGCACTGTCTCAGGCCCTCCACAGTCTTGGGGCTCAAGTGTGTCCGGCACAGGGAGGAGGCTGGGTGGTCATTTCTTATACGTACTGCGTCCTGTCTGCAGAACAGGTAGGTCTCTGCTGAAGTGGTTTCGCCTGAATTGTCATCACGCCGTTCAGATCACTGTAAAAATTGCTGGAGAAGCGATGCATCTGAGAAAAGTAAAAACAATACACGTTAAAAAGCATCCAGCGCCACTGCCGTCCTGAATGCCCGTCGGGAGTCCACGGGAAACAAGGGCACGCTCACACTGGGTAATTTGAGGGAAACTTAATACAGGAGCTAGATTTTACACAGATGTGGGAGGGGGATGAAGCAGCAGCTTAATTCCCCGGGGCTTCCACCAGGCAGGGGAGGGTGCCTGCCCACTCGCGCGCCCGAGAGATGCCACCCACACTGTGGCCTGGCAGCCGGGACAGAAGCAGAGCCAGGCGCCTTCTTTTCTCACCTCTGAGCTGCCAGCAGCTGCTGGGCCAGGAAGCCGGCTAATGCAGCTCCAGGGCACAAGGAGCAGCAGGTCCCGAGAGGCCCTGGGGAAGCAGCGCAGCGGCGCCCAGCTCCTCACTGGTCGGCCTGCCTGGGACCCGGGACCCGGGACCCAGGACCCTGGACCCGGGACCTCTCCTCCTACCCGCCGTCCCCATAGCACCCCGGGAGCGGGAGTGGGAGCGGCTGGGGAAATGCAAGCTCCAGGTCTCAGGGGCTTACATTTCACTCCCAGTTCTAACTGCATCCGGGCTGGTGACCTAGGGAAGACTGCTTTGGAGTTTTAATTTCCTAATCTTTACATGGAGAATAATGCCACCTACTTCATAGGGTTATTCTGGGAATTAAATTAGACAGCGCTGGGGAAAGCAGGAGGCAAGGGCTCAATGATCAGTTCTTTACTCAACCCCTTCATAGGTGCAGCTAAGATTCAAAACAATATTTAGGTCTAGAGAAACAGGGTATCTGAGCTAGAATTCTATTCTTCAAGAACACACGTAGCAACCACAGTCACATTTTCCTCGTGTTGAATAAGTACAAAAAGAAGTTGTTAGAGGAGTAAACAAAGACCTACTGTGATCACGGCTAGAATGCTTGACAACTTCAAAACTGGTTCTATTAGTATTTACTTTTACTTCTCACTGCACTGTCCCTTCATTTTCTTTTAGCATTTATCCAAAACAAAAACCTCAAAACAGATGTTGAAAACATTTTTTTAAACTAGAAAAAGCTATAAAAATCACAAAACATCTATAAAAAATTGCTTAGATATCAGGTAAAATAAATAAACTAGTGAAATGATCAGAGTTCTGTTTATCAACTGGTCATTTTTTATGTAATGTGTACTGCACAGTTTACTGTGCAAGGTGGGAAACGTGGCTGAACCCATCAGAGCAGTTTCAAGAGACCGCAAACCACAAGCTGGAAGCAAGTTCAAGAGTTTTTTTTGAACAGCAGACACAAAGAAGACTTAGTGCAAAGCCTTTACACTGGAAAGCAAAGCAACCCTGTTAGGTGTTTCTGTTTCAAACCGCTGCTCACTGAACCGCATGCCCCATTCAGGCCTGTGTCCTTTCAGCCCTACAAAGGTATTCTGTTGATTTGCTCCTGTGCTAGGTGGACATTTTTGCCTCTGCCTTGAATACTCTCGTTTTCAGCTTACCAAGTCTTACCTGTTGCTTGAGACGTAGCTAAGGTCTTACTCTACTTTGTGAAGGGTATGCTGTTTTTCCCTTGGAACCCTACATCATTTATGAGCTAAAGGACATCTAATTATTATAATAGAATGTAATATAATATAATATGATAAAATGATATAACATGATATGACATGATATATAATTAGCATCTAATTACAATAGTAAAACTAACACTTATTGAGAGCCTACTCTATGCCACAAAATATCCTGTCTCCTCTCATTCTTAAAGCTTCCTACCTCATAGATTCCATAGATAATGAAACAGGTTTTGAGAGAAAGGGACTGATTCAAGATCACAAAGCTAATAAATCATGATGCCGGGCTCCAAAATTGTAGTCTATACTCAAAGCTCAATCTCCCATCCACTCCTCTACCTACTAGATCGCCTCATCTTGTGTGTGTGCGTGTGTATGTAGAGTCGTTTTGCAGAGCTAGACTCCTTCCTTCTAAATTATAGGTACTTTGAGACCAGGAGCCCTCTCTTACCCCTTTCCCTGCTCCCCTCCACGCAAGATGGGCTGCGCAAAACATAAAGTCCCAACTCCTCAGCACTGCTGAGGGTCTCCCGCGCACAAGCTTCGCTTTCCACTAGGTCTTTGAGTAAGAGCGCAATTCAAAGATTTACTGAGTAAATTAGTTGCCAGGTTCTGTGTTAGTAACTCTCATACAGTTTCATGATTTCCACCCTCTTCGCAATCTCTTGGACAACATATTATTATCCTCATTCTGTAGATAAGTTCAGAAAAGTTAAACAATACATCCAAGATAATGCCCCTTATAGGTCTCAACTCCAAATGCTCTGGTCTGGCCACGACACCTCTGCGGGTCCCGGTACCCCACCCTCTAACCCGAGTCCCATCGCTGTTCCCCAGACACGCCCCACCCCATCTTTCCCTCCTCCGTGCCCTTGCTGGGCAGAGGTGACCCGTGCAGACTTCCTACGCCTTCCTTCTCCCACGACAGCTTTCTGACATTGTTCACGGGATGTATTGCTTCTGCCTTGTTTTATACTTTTGGTTTTTCTAGGTCAGGGACTGTGCTTCTTTCACCTACAGCTCCTCAAAACACCTAATACAGTTCACTTCATGCAAACTCAACAAACGTTGAATGAACCCAATGGATACTCATGGACTGATTCTTTTATCACTTTGGCAGGAGGAGAAGGCATTTCTAGCCTGCAAATTGGCTAGAAATATTGGGGGAAACATTTTTTCTCTTTAAAAGTATGGAAAGAGCGCTACAGCTCAAAGCTGATGGAAAGTTTCAAATCCGAGTGTCCTCACTCTTTTCAAGTATATGGTGATTCTATTAAACGCCATGAAATAAGTATTTTTTTTAATATGTCTTTATTGATTTCAGAGAGAGGAAAAGAGAGGGAGAGAGAGAGAGAGAGAGAGAGAAACATCAATGATGAGAGAGTCATTGATCGGCTGCCTCCTGCACACTCCCGACCGGAGATCGAGCCCGCAACCCAGGCATGTGCCCTGACCGGGAATCAAACCCTGGTCGCCTGGATCCTAGGTCGATGCTCAACTGCTGAGCCACGCCGGGCCAAGCGAAATAAGTATTTTTAAATGTTAGTCTTACTAAGAAACAGACCCAAGTATCTTGATAATAGAATAGCAGTCTTGACAAACTGGAGCCAAAGATATAAAAGTTGAAGGAAAGAGAGACACCAGGGGAAAAGCATTACCTGGGATGGGTTAAGATGAGAAGCCAGGGAGATGCTTCGAGCTTCAGAACTTCTGGATGGGGGAACACTCGATAGATCAGTGTTAACATAGGAAACGTGTCCATGGGGAGATTTAGTC